TGTGTGTGTGTGTGTGTGTGTGTGTGTGTGTGTGTGTGTGTGTGTGTGTGTGTGTGTGTGTGTGTGTGTGTGTGTGTGTGTGTGTGCGAGTGTTAAATGACCTTTTGCTAAGCTTAGTACATATTTCAGGGTGTCTACCAGTGTGTTTGTGGGTGAGAGAGTGAGAGAAAAGAGAGAGAAAGAGGGCTAATGCTTCCTTTGCAGGTCTTCAGGTTGCCCAACAGTGGCACCTAGTGGTATAAGGTTTATTTCTCTTGTTTTAAAGAGTGTGCCTTCTTTTTTTCTTTTTTCTTGTACTTGTGTGTGCTCAGGTACCTTTACAAGTTGAGGGACCTTCACCTGGAGTGTGAAAACTACACAGAGGCGGCGTACACACTGCTGCTCCACTCTCGTCTGCTCAAGGTGGGGCAAACAGTCACATGCACGCATATGAAGACACATATCGTTGCTTAATGCTGGCCCCGGTGTCTTGTTCTTCTTAATCACTTGCCACAACTGAGACAGTTTTGCATTAGCTGATAAACAGTTGCTACGTCGCTGGCCTCCAAATGATGAAGCGCCGAGTTTAGTTTATGGCATTGCGTCGTCTACTGCAGCTACATCGCTATGGTGATTGATGCCGTGCACTTGCCCGGTGTGTGTGTGTGTGAGGATGTGCATGTATGAGTCTGAGTCTCTTATGTCGCTTCAACTCTTTTATAAGACACATGAATTTGAGCATCTCCTGCTCATCATCTCCTCTGTGTGTCTCATTACATCAAAGCAGTTGAACTCTATTTAACAATTTTTATAATCTCCATTTATCTGCAGGGTCAGTCCTGTCATTCCGGTCACACTACTGGAAACAACAGGCTGGAACACACAGCATGCTATAATCTTTGCTATCCTAAGCAGATTAGACAGTTTTAAAAATCATGATGTACTGTTTTTTTTTTCTAAATTTAATTCTGTGTAATTTATGTAATAGAAGATAAACAGTTGTCTCATTTATATAATAAATGGGCACTCTGCTGCTGTTTTTGCACATGCTCCGCTTAGGACTAATATTGATTTATTACAACAATGAAACTGTAAGCTTTAAGTACTTCTTCTCCCTTTGTTCCACTGTGATAAATGGCACAGCAGAAATTAGAGTAGTCCTGAAGGCAAAGTTTTTCTTTTGTTTCAGCAATATCAAGTTGGGCCTCCCTTCGGAAATATCTCATTTTGTTTTTATCTTTGTCTTTTCTTCCATATCTCTTTACTTCCTCTCTGTCTCTGTTGCAGTGGTCAGATGACATGTGCAGTCAGTTTGAGTTCCACGGCTCCCAAACGCAGCGACAGCTCAAAGAAACTCTCTACGACACAATCATTGACTACTTTGACAAGGGCAAGGTCGGTATTGTTTCAGACGATGTCAAAATTTGCTTAGCTGTGCCGATACTGAGTGATTAATTGAGTGCTAATTAGCGCTCAGTTGCATTAATGAAAATCTGTGTGTTGTTGTTCGTTTTTGTCTTCTTTTTCTTATTTGCTTCACTCGAGGATATCGGAGACATCAAAACAGATATCCTTCAACCACACATGATCACTGTGCTGTATGTTAGTGTCACATTCATTTTGTATTCTCCCCGAGTGTCTCATGTTCTCTGAAGCTGAGATAGAGACTTCCTTCCACTCCACAGAGACTTGGACACAGACATTTTCATGATATGAATTCCCACCACGACAGCTGTACCCGATTTATTAGCAGATGGTGTAATGAAGGACACTTCTGTTTCTTTCCTTTGTGTGCTTAGATGTGGGAAGAGGCCATCACTCTGTGTAAGGAACTTGCAGAGCAGTACGAAAATGAGATCTTTGACTACGAGCTGCTCAGCAAGAGACTGGTAATACATTACAATCACAGGGGTTCATGTCTTCTGTGTAGCATTCATGATTGCATGTTTTTTCCCCTTTCCCTTTTATAGATGTTTTAGATGTTTGGGGGGTTTAAGGTGGTGTTTGGAAAAAAGAAAGAGAATTCAGGCTATTTATCATGTCTTTGATTAAGGGAGTGCCATCCTATAATAATATAAATATGTACTGTCATCTAGTAACCAAAAATAGAGAGGGCATAGCCAAACATATGAAACAGGAAAATACCGCCGTGTAATCCCTTTATTTCAGCAAAGTAACTGTATTCTGAATACCACCTTTTTAAACGGTAACTGTAACGGAATACAGTTACTCATATTTTGTATTTTAAATACGTAACGGCGCTACATGTATTCCATTACTCCCCAACACTGCCTCTGAATATATTGTTACATCATCTGCACACTCAAACATTAACAGCTATTTTTAAAGCTTATTCGGCATGTCAAATACTCCTTTAAATCAAGTTTTTTTTGAGCTTATGGCGTGTCATAAATATATGACCCCAAAATTATGATTCTTCATTAGCAGTCTTCAGCTTCTTCAAAGTCCTCCTGGCCCTCACTTTGTCATCTCAATCACACTTCCGCTTCTTTCATCTCTTGCCTCTGCACAACAGAAGAAGTGATTCCCCCATTTACTAACTTTTGGTTTAGCACCACCTTCTCCTCTATCTCCCCTTCACTCAAATAACTCCTTCCACTCCTCGAAGAGAATCACACATTTCCCAACAATGGAAAAATCTCTCCCTCTCTTTATATGACTGCAGCAGAAGCTCTCTCAGCTAATGCTGAATTTATGTGGTTATATAAATGACAGACATTGCCCTTGGATGGGGTGTGCTTTTTTTTCACTACATCTATCACCCTCACAGGCCCGGCATTCTGCTGAGCGTAGCTTTGTCATTGGCATGAGCTGATTAAACTGCCCAAAGTGCACATCTGAAAGTCTCCCTTGGACACATCCTCTGTTTCCTTCTGTCTCTCTACAGGAAAAACAAGCCAAGTTCTATGAAAATATTATGAAGATCTTGAGGCCTAAACCAGACTACTTTGCAGTGGGCTACTATGGACAGGGCTACCCTCCATTCCTCAGGGTTTGTATTTTGCTGTGTCACAGTTGAGTTAGAGAATACTTCAAATTGTTACCAGAAACACTCATAAAGTAGATATTAAGGAATTCACACCATTTACAAAATCCTAACTGTCTTCCAATAAAAAACGTTATTGGCAGTTAAGCTTAGCTGTTTACAGTTTTTTTTAAACGCACCAGCAGGTATCTAGCAGAGTGGGACATACGATACCCTCCGGAAACATTTTGGATGTGTTGATTGCAACAGGCTGCAGAAATATAATTTTGCAATGATTATTGCTTCTGCTATGATTATGTGTGTTAATCTGCTGTGGTAACGAGTAAGACAAAGTCAGTACTCAGCTTATAAGAGGGCAGTCAAAGGTGATCAGGTCCAACTTTTGAGTCTTTGAGAGAATTTCAGTGTCTGCCATTTCTAGGTGGACTCTGCCCTATTTAAGGAAGTTTAAATAGGCAAAGAACTTTCCTGTGAAGATAAGCTGGGTCTTAATCTTTATTATCAGTATTAACACTGGTTTATTCCCCCTGGCTTCAGAACAAGGTGTTTATCCACCGTGGTAAGGAGTATGAGCGCAGAGAGGACTTCCAGAACCAGCTGATGAGCCAGTTCCCCAGCGCCGTGCGTCTCAACACAACCACCATGCCAGGGGATGATATCAAGAACTCTCCACTTCAGTGTATCCTTCAAGCAGCATTACACACTTATTCATTTACAGTCATATGTAGATGCATATTGAACGAAGAAAATTTTAATATTCTGCATGGTCTACAGTGTTCACCAGCACACTAGCATAGAAGTCATAAAATATTCACATGCAGCACCTTCGGGATTATTAAGTATTTGGGTCACTGAACCCATTTGAAAGTACTAAATATCCAGGGACCTTTTAACCCAGAACCACAGTACATCTTAACCAACCATCAGATCTCTGTGTATCAAACTAAAATTTCATTTTAGTTTACTTGTCCTGTTCCTTTTGATGCACTTCTGTATGAACACATCCCTCCACTATGAGTTTGTACACTCACAGAGATACTGAGAATCTATCTCTTATGTTTATTTCTGAGCAGTCCAAAACAGATATCCAGTGTTTTACAGTGCAGCCAGTCCTCGAAATCCCTCCTCGCCTGAAGAACAAACCCGTTCCTGACCAGATCATCAAGTTAGTGCCATTCAAGCTAGTGCTTAAAAATGAACTGGAGGTTTTAAATATGTACACCTAATGTATATTGTGCCTCATTTTGCATGATTCTGTCTGTTGTCTTTGTTTGACTCATTTCTTTCTTCTTCAGCTTCTATAAGTCCAACTATGTGCAGCGCTTTCACTATTCCAGACCTGTGAGGAAAGGACCCGTGGACCCAAACAATGAGTTTGCTGTGAGTTATGTCTTTAAAATGAAATGTGTGACCACAGGGACCATGAAAGCATTTCAAGGACTTTTGTACTAGAACTGTTATCAATCTGAAACTGTGAGTTTCTAATATATAAAATAATAGGATTTTATTCAAAGGCAGGATTTTTCATATGCTGAGGCTTGTGTTTAAAGGTTTCAGATGAGCTCTTGAGATGCAGCATCAGATTCCGGTATTACTGTGGTGTATGATTAGATTAGAATAAATAAGATTGTGCAGCAAGCGTCTGTTAAGATTTCAGTCTTCAATGCAAGATATGATATCAGAGTATTCACAAGTGGTACAGATTTATCTGACAGCTTCTCTGTTTTTATACTTTTTTTTTTGTTTTTTTTTAGTCCATGTGGATTGAGCGCACAACCTTTACCACTGTCTATAAGCTGCCTGGGATCCTGCGCTGGTTTGAGGCAACTGACATGAAGCATGTAAGTCTACAGGGCCATGTTTGTTCTCCATGTTTGACTTGTATGTTTGCTGTAAGTTATTATCTCCAGTGCAATGCGTTTCACATTTCAACACCACTGATTACAGGGGGGTTTTTGTGTTTAATTTTTAAAAGTTTTATTATACGTCTCCCACATCCGATCTGAAAACTCTCCATCCATCCACCTTCATTCCTTTTTCTTCTACTCTTTCTGTGTGTCTGCCTCCCTTTCCAGACTACCTTGTCTCCTTTGGAGAATGCCATAGAGACCATGGAGTCAACAAATGAGAAGATTTTAACGATGATTAACCAATACCAGTCTGACTGGAGCCTTCCTATCAACCCTCTCTCCATGCTGCTCAACGGCATCGTTGACCCAGCTGTCATGGGTGGCTTTGCAAAATATGAAAAGGTAAATTCTCAAAGATCATCACTAATATTACAAACCCAGTTCCAAAAAGGTTGGGACACTGTATAAAATTAAAAAGACAACAACAACAGAAAGCCGTGATTCTGAAAACTCTATTAAGACCTTTTGTCATTTAATTTTTAAAAATTAACTCATTTTGAACTTAATGGCAATAACACATCTCAAGGGCTCAAAACTTTGGAGCGGTGGGAACAAAAGGCTGGAAGAGTAAACAGAAACAGACCCTGAAACAGATGGAGGATTATCTTGTAACTAATTAGGTTAATTTTCAACAAGCCAGTAACATGACTGAGCTTAAAAAGAGTTTATTAGTGAGTTTCTCAGAAGTAGGAGGGGCAGAGGCTCACCAGCTGGCAATAAAACACAAGCTAGTGTGGCCTTAGACCTGATCCCAACCCTGGCTACATTGGAAGGTTTCATCAGGAAGGACATTCGGCATAAAAATATGTGCCAAACATACAGATGCATCTGCTGTGGTAACCTTTTGGGGAAACAAAGTACTTTAGCTTAAACCGGGATTTCTAAAATGAGAAACTAGTACCTGCAGGAAACCTTGGAGAACTGGATGAGGTGCATGTGTTTGTTTAAAAAAAAGAGAGAATCATTCCTGCATGATTATTATTATTATTTTAATACAAAATTTAAGTTCAGTAAATACTTTTGTGTTCAATATTTTGAAGTCACAATTAGCTATCATCAAAATGAAAGTAATAAGCACAGTCACATTTACTGTGAGCATAAAGCCAGATTTTGATATTTTGTGGCAGACAAAAGGAAATGGATATGTGTTCAAAGTGTAACAAAAGCGAACCACGTTTGTTTGAGTCTTCTTTTTCTTTCATGACTCTGAAACAAAGCAGTCTTTAAAGACTTCGCCTGGAAAAGAGTTTGATCTCTACAGATGTTTCTTATTAAAAATTAAGTAAAGTTTTTTTATTGCTTTTAGTTCTTTTAGAAAACCTCGCTGTAATACAACTTCAATGCTTAGCTTAGGATGTCGAAAAAAAATTGGTTTTCTGTGAATTTTGTGATGCCTTTAAATATTTGAAATGTAGTAATTAAGTGCTTTTAGATACATGTTGTTTTTCATTAAATCAGATTGAGAGAGAAAAAGTTTGAGAACCACTGCATAAAGCTGTTATATTGCTATATATATATATGTATATATATATTTCTATTGCCATCTATTGTAACACATACCACGTACAGCCAAATAGGGGTTGCGAAAAAGGACGGAGATTCACCGTAACAAAGTAAGTCCTTTAACAGATATCAGAGCTTAAGAGAGTGCTCTCATGCAAGACTCGTCTCTCATGATGAACTTAAATCCATTAAGAAGAAACTCTTTATCACCTCCTGAGGCTCACTGAATATAATCAAAGTCAGTTTCTGCAGTCCAAATGACATTAAATGAAATGTACTTATCTGACTATCATTTAAGTGCCTCCACACACACCATTCAGTATTATAATATTCCACATAGGATGGTAGTAAATTACCATTTTTGCTAGCTGGTGAAATAGTAATCGATTTTTATCATTTTTTAAATGAGTGTTATATAATATTTCCTCTGTATCAGGCCTTCTTTACTGAAGAGTACACCCAGCATCACCAGGAGGACAGAGAGAAGCTGGTTCGCCTCAAGGACCTCATCGCATGGCAGGTACTTAATACATATTCTCAAATACATGTACACAACATATATAGTCATTACTTTTATATGTGTGTGTGTGTGTGTGTGTGTGTTTTTCTGCTGACACCATGGCATTTTTATTTCCAGATCCCATTATTAGGTGGAGGAATCTCCCTCCATGGGAAGAGAGTGACAGAGGACTTGCGTCCTTTCCATGAGCGCATGGAGGAGTGTTTCAAACAGCTGAAAAAGAAAGTGGAGAAGGAGTACGGAGTGAGAGAGTTGGTAAGCTGAAAGAAAAATGTAGGAAAATCCTAACTTTTCTACTAAAATATGATGCTTCCGTAATCCAGAATATCTTTTTTTCTGCAAAGCTGGACATGGAGCTGCTGTGGTAGAGCAGTGTAGAGCTAATTAAGCTGCAAATTAGCTGACCCAAGCGAATTTAAAGATCAAAGTACTCAGAAAACGCTGTGAGAAGAGTGTTGATGTGGGATTTGTACCTTTTAAATTTCTCTGCAACTAGAACAGGGTTTGGATGGTTTTAACGGGGGCAAACGTGGTCATTAACTTGTAATTGGCACTGCCTTTCAGGAGAAATTAAACAAAACTGGAGTAGAGTGATTATACACCATTTTAAAAGTGATTAGACTCAGTTTTCCTATTTCTTGCTCTTTTCTTTTTTAGAGATGTCACTTTTTCTACGATATCTTTTTCGGCTAATCTACATATTGTTCACATTTGTCTTTCTCTCTCTCCAGCCGGACTTGGATGAGAGAAAGTCTACTCGTCCACGCTCCATGCTGCGATCATTTCGTCAGTCCGTCATCTCGATTTCCTCACTGCAGGGATCCGAGTGTGGGACGCCAACCAAGACACATGCAGACAGGTAACATGCACATTTTCGAACCCCTACTGTGTCACGAGAACCCCACGATAACACTCAGTTTAAACTGTATACACAAAGTCTTATGGAAAAAGCGTCACACAAATATGATAATAAGCTTGGATTTCCTTTGAATGTCTAATCTAAACCTTCCTGCCTCCTCCCAGGGACAATCCTCCTGAGTCTCCAATCTCCTGGAGCTCTGCCACCCTGCCACGCTCCAGTGGCAGTGTTAGTATAGGTGAGGAGGGGAGCATGATGACAGTGGGTGATGCAGAGGTCAAAATGAGGAAGAGTAAGAAGAAAAAGAAAAGGAGCAGCATGATCTTCATCACAGAGGAAAGAGAACGGACCAGTACACTGGAATGCAAACGGGTGAGAATTAGTGATGATGGATAGCAATGTGGGGAAAATGTGAGAAAAAGGTACAAAGACAGAAAAGAGGGGAAGGTTGCATGTAAAGACATGATTAAGTAATAAAACGCTCTGTTTCTGTGAAGTGTAGTCTGAGTTTTCTGTGATCTTTGTCTCCCTCTAGCTGTCCAAGAAACAGGAGTTCCGCAGTGACACCAACTTGTCTGAGCCAAATGAAGTAAATGTGGCGCTGACCAATGCCAACTCAAGATCGCTGCCTGCCATCACAGGTGACACACAAACCCACCTGGTGTGATGGAATTACTGTGACTGAGGTGCACAAAGCCCACAAAGTCAAAAAATCATGACCTAAGAGGAAGTGCTGCATTTTTCCTGCTCTGGAAAGCTGACTCAAAGAAAAAAAGAGCACAAGCAAGGTCATAATAGGAGAAATACCTTGGCATGCTATGGTGTGCAATAGAAAAAGTGAATGCTGGGGAATGCACAGTAACAACTTGCCCTAAGACACACTCTGATATAAGGCAGAAAATCAGTTTGAATGTTGTATTTTCTCAGAAGTATGTAATAGTTGCATCTGGTTTATATCTGATTGTTGTATTTACACATCCTTGCACTATGGTGAATCAGGCCACAATTTACTGATGCTTCGCTGGCCTCCTGCCTTCACTGAATCAGCTGAGACAGCACTCACTGCGGTGTTAATACACAACTACAAGCTGCACTGCCTCACTGAAGATACAGCACTCACAGGCCCCCAGTGTTGCTAGGGCACACAGGTCATTGGCAGAACAGCTGCGGGAGCCCAATTAGTCACAAAAAATCACCTGGCTACAGTGCAAGATCTGCTGTAAAATTGTAATCACGAGGACACAAACACTACATTCGTTTTTTTCCCCTCTCCCTCTTTCTCTCTAGGCCTGTCCTTGTCAGTGGCAGGAGGGGCTGAGGAGGTGGAGTCCTCCAGAGCCAGGAGGGACAGTAAGAGCATGTCGGTGTGTGCAACCTCTGACCGAACAGCAGACAGACGCTCAAAGGGTGTCATCAACCTGTTATTCAAGTCCAAGGTAGAGTAATAGCCCAACCTGTTTAAGTTAACTGGGTTTAGATTCAAGAATAAGTGCTTCAGTTAAAAAGAACAGAAATACACCTATTTACTTATCTGTGTCAAGCTATTGCCAAGGTTTGTCAAGGTAGGTTCACTGGCTGCTGTTTGGCTTCATGTTTAATGTCCAGGCATGAGTGATGTCAGCTGTATACTACCTCTTAGTAGGAATTCACGAATATATTTTTCAGAAGATCTCAGCTCTTTTCTTTAACAGAAGTAGCACTGAAAATTTATCTCCAGCATGAGTCTCTTGAATTATTCCAAGCAGGAGCTCAAAACCCACTGAAATGTTTTATTTGAGCACATGTCAGGTCATTTTTACCATTAAGAAAAATCCCTGTATTTACATTATATGTGTTTGTTTCGGCAGAGCTCCAGAGCAGAGGAAGTGAAGCCCAGTGATGCACCCAAAGAAAGAGATAGCCATTTTTGAAATGTATTATTTTCATTTCTTGTCTTCTTTACTTATTTGTACTATGCTTTTTTTTAAAACCAAAGACCTGTAGCTAAATCCACAATTATACACTGACTCACACAGTCTACTTGTCTGTCTCAATGTTGCTGTTGCCTTAATATAATTGATTTTACCTATCAGTAAAGGCTATTTTTGTTGTGTGACCTTTTTCCTGGCAATTTAAGTGATTCCCAGTGAAGCTAAATGCCATCTTACAGCTTTTCAATCAATTCTGCTTCTACAAGAATGAGCAAACACAAACCATCCCTCCGACACACTTGATTAAAAGCTTCTCATTATACGGCTTTCAGCATTGTTGACACTGAAGTTAATGAGAAAATAATAATTCTATAAAGCACAAAGGTTACTGTGTCCTCCCAAAGGACTTTAAACTGGAACTTGTTGCCACGAGGCTTTGGCACTGATACAACAAATATTAAAGTCTAATAAACTCAAATAGAGTCAACAAACTGTGAAACTCATTGTACAACATCAAAGCTGTGTGTACCCCAATGTTGAGTTTGTGTTTCTGTATGAATTCTGTTGGGAGTTACTTTCTGCATGATTTGGTCACAATTTTTTATACCTTTCGTTAAAATATAAAAATAAATGTTTAAGTGTATTTACAGTTTGGAATTTGCTTTGGTTTTTTTGCATCACCGGTTTTCACGAAGAGTTCTACCTAAGGAATACTTTAGGTGCCGGCTAAATACCAAGTTTTATAAATGTTAGAGTCGCTTCTACTCTTTACGGTAAAAAGAGTTCATCTTGGCTTTAGCTTCATAAATGAACAGCTTTTTAATTTAAGAGAGATTTGACTGTAAAACAAATGAAGCCAATGCTTGAGTGCCAACAACTGTAGTTCTTCGAATGACCACTTGGGGCAGGCTTTAAAAGTCAGTACCCATAGACTCTCATGCTAAAATGGTCATATTTCAGATTGGAAATAAACATGATTATAGCGTCTTATGAAAGGCTGTTTTAGACCCTGTCCACACCTGCAAGAGTATTTTGGCAAATGAAGCCTTTTCCATGCATCTTGGCTTTTTGTAGATATGTAAACATGGTTTTAAGTTGGTCATGGTTTATGCAAATATAGGAAGGTTTTTGGTTTCAGGATTGTTTCCTTGTACCGCTTCCTCAGTTAGGTTACTGTTTGTAGTTTTCTGATTTATGTCTAGTTTACTTGATCTTCTGTGTATACCAGTATTTATTCTAGCATTATGAGTTTCTTGATATTTTAGATTCTAGTTTTAGTCAGTATATTTACAGTTATTGTTATTGGATTCTTTATATTTTGATTTATTAGTCTTACCTTCCCTTTGTCATCCTCTTTCTTGTCAAGTCTTATTCTGATTCCCTGTTTAGTGGCGTCCTGGTTTATTTTGATTGTCATTTATTTCTAGTGTCTTGTTTTTTGCAGTTTTTATTAGATGTCATTAGCCTACAAGTCTACAGTGAAGGAGACCGTTGATTGGTCAAAAGTCTAGCCATCATTGTATCGTTGTGTATATATAGGCCTGCCACCACCCTTTGTCAGACTATTTGTGTATCTTTTATCTTGTGTTCCTCATGTTTTCCTACTACTTTTGCATTTCTTTCTTGCTATTCTGAAAATCTTGCGAATACGACAACTCAAGAAGTAAGGCCGCTAGAATTTTCAAAGTTATACCATAAGTGCATGTACTAAAAATCTAAGAGGAGTTCAAATTCTGTTGACCTTGACACCAAGGTCAGAGGTCAAGTTTTCTTAAAATTTTGTGAATGCAACAACTAGAGAACGAGGCGACATTTCACACCATAGGTGTAACAACTAGGAGGCAGGGGGATAACACTGGTGGCTGCCAGTTTTTTTAGAGTCTGCATTTTGGGTTGTAATTCAGAATACATGACAAGGTCATTGAGAACATCTTCCAGGGTAGATGTTTGCAGAGACTCGGCTTCTGTGTTTACATGTGGAAAATGGAGAGGTTGTCTTGTATCATCAAAGATTCACTGTATTGCATAAATCAATGCAATGATATCATGTTGGCAACATCCATCTCTAATGTACTATAAGCAGCAGGGGACCTAAGAGATGCAAACTTTGCTGGAAGGCACTTTTCAAAGTTAACGTTGAGTAATTTGTAGTCCATATTGATATTCCAAGACACCAATCCAGGTGTTCCCCAAAGAATTTGTTCTCTGAGCTAGAGAGAGCATGGATAATGAATGAACAGCCCCAGATCATCCATTCAGCTGGGGCAGTGCGTGTACAGCATCCAGGTTCTGAAGAACTGTACTGGCCCAGAGGAAGAAAACATAACAACATGCACCTAGGGTGGTGAGCAGATTTCCTCTGTTCTCCTACAGCAGAGAAAAACAAAACACTACAGCCTTCAGGCCTGTTGTAGCTTCGCTTTTTAATTTCTTTAACCCCTGGGATCTGCCTAACGTACTCTGAAACAACACAACTAAACCCTTCAAAATCCTGACAGATTATGAGTAAGTGAAGTCAGGAGGGAGCGCAAGTCTTCCTTTCTTCGTTGGCTGTAGTGACATTTTAATGAAAACATTAAGATTAATTGTTAAAGGTGCAGACAGACAGGGCAGCTGCATTTAATGAATAGAAATTAGTGGTAATTGTAGTCCTAAATAAACATGGTTTTTTCCATTATTGGCAGATGTGGATGAATATCTCATATTGGATTTCCTCTTGGTTCTCTTTGAGCCCTATCTGCAGGAGTGCAGACTGTTCGGTAGGTTGTAAAGCACAATGGAGATATTTCTCCTCTTCCTTATTAATACTGCCATTATCTGGTGTCATACTGACCACCAGGTTTCTCTATGGCCAATTTAAAGTTGCAGAATAACCTTTTAAACTCAGTCCTGTACTCCTATACTTCAGTCTGGAGTGTGAATTTTCAAACAGAACCATAGCCCCGTGACCACAGAGTGATTTCAAACCGGAGTCATGTATCTCATTTATGCAAAAAAGGATGGATTGGGTTAGTGGTGAGGGTAAATGATATGCTGCGAATTCTCATAGGAAGTAATAGGACAGCACTGCTTGACTGATTAACAGACTGCTTCACAGTGAAAAATGCTAAGATTTTTCTGGAATGTGTGTAAAGTTGCCAAATTACACATTGGTAAAGTCAGGTGCACAAATGGAGAAGTGTTGCAAACATTGCATTTTGAAATAGAGAAGCCTCAGCAACCTGTTTGGAAATATGACTCATTAGTTGCGCCCGTGGCAGCAAGAAACATGTCAAATTTATGATCCTCCACTGTGGCTCCTTTAGGTCTCCTGATGGACAAACCAATCAAAAGCACTAACACACAACTCCTGTTATAATAAGTGTTGCCTCTAAAGACATGAAGGTTTTATTAGAGGTGTCACTGTGGTTGGTACTATAACTTGGATGTCATATTAACTAGTGCAACTTATGTGCTTAGGAGACATATTTACATATTTATCTTGAAGACTTGACATCAAAGCTTCAGGGCTGCATTTCCTTAGATGATACTGTGAATAACACACACTAACTATCACAAAAGTCACAAAGTCTAAACACACATTTTCTAAAAGACATAAACAAACCGTAGCTCCTTAAATATTCCCCACAGAGCTGAATCCATCAAGGATAAGTATGGGTGAATTATTTTAAACTGATTAGTTTCAGGGACAGCACAGTTGGACATAAAAGACTCTTTAGTTTATTTAGGATGGCGTAAAATAGGCGGTAAATTACAAATGCACTGTGGGCTTTTCAGTATCTCTCCACACTGGCTGCTGGTGTAGACAGCATCGCTGGGCCTGAGATCGAGGGGCTGTTCCATGCTGTTGAAGCTCGGCTCTGTATCAGTCTGACTGCAGGATGATGGACATGGCTGAGCAGCTCAACTCTGTCAGAATACATAATGAATGAGCAGTTGATGGCAAAGTAATGAAGGTGATAATTGAAAAGCAGTAATTCTGACATCTATTGCAGTCTTGGCAAGCTCATTTGCAGCTAATTTCAAGCAAATTAGAGATCAGACAATTCCTTCTTGAGCACTGTCATCGCTGTTGAAATGATGGCAGTGCAAAGATATACTAGCTACTGTGCTTATTGTCACTAGCAGAGGCTGACAGGCTGATGTGAGCGTCAAATGCGGTTATAATCCAAACCCACTAGGGGGCAGTAAAACATTGTTTTAAGGTGTAAACGGTTCAAGTCATATTAATCACTAACCACTAGCGTGGTTTTTGTTAATCCTTTGGGCATGTAAGACCAAACAAGTTTTTAACTCTTAGAATTTTTTTGTTAAAAAAGAAGAAAAAGAAGAAAGTCTTCTTCTGATATGGCGCAAGACTAGTGAGGTAAGTCGTCCCATTGGGAATACAGTACAAGTTTCTTGGTTTTCACTTGTACCTGGGATTTCAGCTTCCACGAAATGACAGAGACTTTCTGCACATTCCCAACATCTTTTGTTTTTTACCCAAGATGGCAACCATTCAGCTAAGTTATGACAGGTAAATAAACACTAGATAGAGTGATGTGAGGCACACCGTTGTGCACGTATTTCTCTATATTAAGCACGATCACAACAAACACCTTTTAAATGACTGATAACAGAATGTAATATAACATTATAAACTTTTCTTTTGCAGAATGGTGTCTATATACAAAATATCTTACTCTCTGTCTTGTGTTGAACCTTCAGTTAAATGGTTAAAATGAGGTCTGGACTTTTTCCCACTACAAAATAAAACTTTGGCTCAAGGACAGTTTTTCCATTCCAGCAGTTTACCTTTGGTCAGCAGTGTTGTGAACTACTTTTCACCTGTTCCAGTTAAGGTGTTTAAATTGAATCCCGAAGTATGCAGTAGTTGGGGTTGAGGTCAGCTGAGGTCAGTGAACACTATGAATATTTGTCACATTAAAGAGTTTGTCCTTGAGAGAGAGCTGTTGTGTGTATATATATATATATATATATATATATATTTCTCAAGATCCAGTAATATCAACTTCAAACTCCAGCCTGTAGAGGGCAGTGTTGAAATGTACCAGCGGTTAGACCTTTACTGTATTTATTTAAGCTTAAAACACAGAATGCTGAATAACCTACACAACTCTGTAAATCAAGGCTGATAACATGCTAGTTATCAGCAATCCTTCCCTCCTTTTTACTCTGCGATCTTTTACTATCGCTGCACTTTTCTCCTCCTGCCTCTTTGTAATTGCCTTGCTCTAACACCCCCCCTCTCACTCGTATCAGCCCCCTTTTTTGCCCTCTTTCTGATACTCTTGGTAGTCTCTCCATCTCTCTGACAGGTTTTGCAAAGAGCTGATAGGGGAGCAGAAAGTGGAACAGTGCTGTGAGTTTTAATGGGGCTCCCTGATAATCCCTAATCTGACAGCTCATCAAAGGCGACCGTGCTGTTCACATTCTGTCTTTCAGGGATCATTCACCAGGTTGCATGTTAATGTAGTGTAAAACAGTCATCTGTGCCTACAGCCTTGATAGTGTATATTGCTTATATAGCACATTTACTGTATGATTCACTGCAGCGCAGAGGTTTTACTGAAATTGCAGAAGCTACAGTGGTGGAGATTGATGCTGAAAAATGGGCAGGTGAAAGGTATTACAGTGTTCCAGTATTTGCAGAACAAATGACATATTTCAGACACAGTTTGGTCTCAGCATACTGTAATGATATTTCAGAAGGCATCTCCAGATAAGTAACAGACTAAGGGGAAACCCGAACTAAAGAGTGAGGGGATACAGTGGTTATGCTATGCTAGGTGGGTTTTTTCCCTTTAATTTGTTACCACCTGTTTGCGTTTATATTTTACCATTTTGCAGACATTTGTAACTATGTCAGGTTAATGTGATTCAGTTTCTCAACTCATTCACAGTACAGGAACATTAAGTGATAACAAGTAAAAGTAGGAAGTGGAAATATTGATTTTTTTTCTTCTGTGCAATAGTTATTTCATCCAGTTCCCTGCTAAGGTGAAATTTTGTGTGAGCAAAAGTAAGACAAGAAATCAATGCAAACCACAAGTTACATTTAGCCAAGTGTCAGATGAAGAAAAAAGTAGAGTATGTGTAACAATGATTCAGGAAATTCATCATTATAAAACTTTTTTGGATCTGGTGAGCAGCAGGGGTTAAATGGGCGGGAATGATCATGGGCTTGATTTAATGAGCAAGTCAAGCTGATGAATACATAATAAAAACAAGTAGGTTAATTTGGATGTGCTGGAGCTGAGTATTGCCTCCACCTGATTATACTATACTACAAATAATAAAGTAAAAGCATCTGATTGTCCTGCTTTCTTTCGAATCACTGGCTTGCGTTCATGGTGCAGATATCAATAAAGCTTTGGTGGTGGAACTTAATAGCATCTGTTAAATACCTCAAACCACTTTCATCTGTAAAGTGATGGATTTTGGAGCGTGAGAAAAATGAGTGATAAAGGACACAAAAACAGATATCATTAATAATTTAATAGAAGAAGCCCAATTAAATGAACTCCATACCCAGACATCATCAAAGTGTTATATTTACAGCACTGGTATCAGAGTTATTATGTAAATACAGGGTGATGATGCTGTGTGAATGTTTTAAAAGTACATAAAATGAACAAACTAAAGCCTGTGTAGAAGAAGACTTGCGGTAGCTGCTGAGAACTGCTGTGATATGAACATCTCTGTTAGCAGTGAGCTGAAACATAGGTGCCCTTGTGAACAAGCAACAGCAGGGGACCAGACAGGAAGCAACCCCTCACTGAGACGAGCGACTTCTTGCCATCTTAGCTGGTTGCCTGGCAGCTTCGCAGTCCCAACAGTGTTTAAAGTGCTAATGAGTGAGCTTTAGTGATAGGTTAGAGTTTTAGCTGTGCTAGTAGCTGTGCTGTCCCATTGAGGTCTGCACAAGGTCCACAGGTCACTTTTTCTATGGAGCCTACAAACTGCTGGGCAGCGTTTGAGCCTTTGAAAACAAAAACAGTCATTAGGAGAACAAGGGCAGCAGCAGAGATAGCTTTATATGGCAGTAGCTAAAGAGGGGTGCACTAATGCTGCCAAGGTGCTTGTTGGGGCTTGTCTAGGTTGCCTGGATCTGACATTGTGTTTCCCAAAACAGCAACTGACCTCTAAAACATCACTGGCAGTACATATAATGCATCTTTCATCTTTGCTGAAATGGCAGTACATCTGTGCACACCCTGGGTACTGCAAGTTACCACAATGAGAAGCATTCCTTCAGAGGGAAGAGTGTAAAAACAAGCACTTCACATACATGCAAACACTTCAGTCTTCATACCAACTTATAGTAATTAATTCAGTACCTTAAAATGTGTCATTTCGTTTAGGCTGATTCCCCTTCTAAGCAGAGGAAGCCGACTAGTATTTCCTTCAGCTGAACAGATCGCCATACTGCTATAACTGTTTTACTGCCAAGAAAATAACACAAGAGGAACCCAAAAAACAAATGTCCACACACCAGAATTCCTAATTAGGATGGTGTCGGTGGTAGGGGAGTGGATAAATGGTCAGTACTGTTCACATCAAATCTTTGGAACCGAGTAAGCAACACCGCAGAGTTGCTGAAAATCGCTGCTTTTGGGATAATGATGTCGGCTGATCAACGGTCCAGCTCTCAATG